AATGCAACGATAGTTTTCAATTTTCGATCTCGCCCCCTTTTTGAAAATAGGTGACACACTCGAGCGTTTCCATTTGTCAGGAAAATGGCCAGTTGACAATGATTCATTGAAAATCTCGGTGAGTGGAGCCGCCAAATGACTCGCACAATTCTTTAGTATCAACGGGTGTGTAGTATCGGGCAACTCGCCCGAAACGTCAAACGATTGTCACAGAAACTGATTCAATAAAACCACACTTGAGCGTGAACCACAGAGCCTAACAGACGTGTGTTTTAATGCAACATTACATTGGCGACGAAGGGCAAGCGAATCATTGCGTGAGAAAAGAAGAAAAAAAAAAGAGAAAAGAAGAAAGAAGAAATGGGTAAGAAAACTAAAAAAAAAAAAATGAAAGAAAAAAAGATATTGTGCAAAAATAAAAGCGAGGAAAAATAAGAAAAAGTGAGTGTGCATGGCGCATGTGTGACTTGATCGACAATGGAGCCGAAACAAAAACATAAGATTTGAACCGCGAAACAGAAGAAAATATACAGTTTTAGATTCGTTTTGATTTTGAGCATTCAAAACAAATGCATTTTTTTTTAGATTCAAACCACATATTTTGATTCATTTTTCGCAGTATAGAAAGAATTTCACAACAATGAATAACATTGAAATTTGGCCGATCGACAAAGTCAGACATGTTACTGCACGTTTACAAGTAGATAGAATCATATTTGCACCATGAACGACGCCAAATACGGAACGAAATTTGGGAATGAAAAAAAACTCGTTGCACGCAGTAGTTGTTGTTGTTAAACACGAGAGCCAACACGATGTGTTGTTTGGTGGTGACACACCGCAACATCTCAGTGGCGAAAGAGAGAATGGAAACATAGCAACAGGCAGCAACGATAACGGTGTTTCTCCGAAATGAAATAGAGGATTGTTGTTGCTGATGTTTTGTTTTGGCGCGTCGACGTCGCGCATCGAAATTACGAAGAAAAGCATTTACGTGGAAGTACCGTAAAACAATTGCATGAGACGAATTCACGGTGACAAAACAGAGATATTGACAATCGTGCGACTTAAATGTTTGCAAAGCAGCCAAAATATCGAACGGGAGCAATTTGAACGATTGCTGAGTGCATCTTAAATGTTTGCAAGAAATATGGAAAGGGGAGCAATATTGAAAAACGAATTGATGCGACTTAAATGTTTGCAAATGACAAGTGCGACTTGAATGTTTGCAATAAATACAATGTAAGAAGGAAAAAATCTATTCGAACAAGCCTGAATGTGAGCAACTTAAATGATTGCTGAATGCATCTTAAATGTGTGCAAAATCATAGCGAAATGTTGAAAGTTGAGCAACTTAAATGATTGCATGATACATGAAAACAATTTAATGTTGGATTATGGAATAGCGCGATTTAGATGGTTGCAAATGAAAAAAAATGAATGGAAAAAAAGAGAGGAAAAGATATTACACTAAAGAGATTGATGCAACTTAAATGTTTGCAAGAAAAGTGATAGAAAGATAATTCTGGTAACCGTACAGAGCATTGAGTACCGAGGCCATATCGAATTGAAGTTGAGTGAATTGAAAAAAAAATATAGAAGAAGAAGAAAAAATAAAGAGAAAGGAAGTACTTCCCAGATTTGTTCCGAAAAGTGGCTCGTAGAATAATAAATTGAATACATGAAAAGAGCGTTAACAGAACAATTGAATTGAAACAAGGATATTTTGAATGTTACAGATTTAGCGAAGCTGATCGGTGTTGCACCGTTTGATTACACAACATGCACAGATGGTGGTGGTCATGAATGGCAATCGTGGGTACGATCGTTTGAATGGTATTTGCAAGCAAACAAAATCGAAGATGCGGATGACAAATTTGCAAAGTTGATGCATGTGGCTGGACCAAAGGTTCAAGAATTGTTCGCTACACTACCAGTACCAGAAAGTGTAAGCAAAGTAAGCAAAGGACCATTGCGAGGAGGATGTATACCGCATTTGAACGAGTACGAAATGGCAATAGCCAAATTGAATGACCATTTCCAACCGAAAAAGAATCTCACGTATGAACGTCACGAATTTCGCCAGATTAAGCAAGAGTCAGAGGAAAAGGTGGCGTTTTTCGCAATGCGACTGCGGAAACAAGCGGATCGTTGTGAGTTTGGTGATAAATTTGAAGAACAAGTCAAAGACCAAATCATTGAAAAGTGTGCATCGAACAAGTTGCGCCTCAAACTGTTATCGTTGGGCGATGCTGATTTGGATAAGATCATGAATGAAGCGAAGGCATTTGAAGCCGTTCAAGAACAAAGCCAGGTACTAAACGACAAACACGGTGATGTGACCAAAGGCACAGAAATAAACAAAATCGAGATGCGATCCAAACCAAATCCAAGTTTGTTCAGCAAAGAAGAATGCCATCGGTGTGGCTATACTGGACACCGGCAATTTGATGAAAAATGTCCGGCAAAAGGCAAGACGTGCAATAAATGTGGTGGCCGTAATCATTTCAGTCGTAAATGTCGTAGCACGAAAAGAGGACGAAATTTCAATGCCGATCCACAACCAAACAAGTTTGGAAATGTTGTCTCGGAAGAAGTTAAGCGAGGAAAAGATGAGCCACAAGAGAAAAAGACCAAGACTGACGAAACCGAAACGGTTAAAATGGTTGATGCATACCAATCGAATTTGAAAGATGAATATATTTTTTGTATCGAAGATAGCAAAGAACAACGTACTGGTGACACAGACAAAGCCATGGTGAACGATGAATGCATTCAATGTATCGGCAACGACAAGGCGAATGAAATTAAGTGCAAAATCGGAGGTGTACAAATCGCCGCCACAATTGATTCAGGAACGAAAAAAAACATCATTGATAGCAAGGCTTGGGAGTTTCTCAAAGCGAATCGCATCGTAGTGCTAAGCCAAATCAAAGGCGCTACCCAAGGTTTTCGATCATACGGTGGGTACCCGTTGACAATGATTGGACTGTTCAGAGCAAAGATTGAAACATCACACAATGAACTGGTGGCAGATTTCCACGTTGTTGAAAATTATGGAAAAGTTTTGATTGGATACGAGACGGGAATTCCATTAGGAATAATGAAAATTGGGGAAAACGTAAACGAAGTCAGTATGATCGAACCGATGGGCAAAATTGATGGATTTGTTGTTGACATACCAATAAACTTGGATGTGAAGCCGGTCGCCCAGCCATACCGACGTATGCCGGTACCGATGGAAGAAAAAGTTGACAGAAAGATTGATGAATTGATTGCGCAAGGAATTATCGAAAAGGTAACGAAAGAATTAAAAAAAAAAAAAAAGGAGAAATGTTGTGTGGTTGTGTTGATTAAAAAGTTAAATGAATGGATTGATAAATGTTGAAAAATTTTACGAGCAGGTAAATGAGCCATCACCATGGATCTCACCAATGGTCCCAGTACCAAAAGGAACGGATGATGTTCGAATCTGTCTTGACATGAGACGTGCAAATGAAGCAGTGATCAGAGAAAATTACCCATTGCCAACGATGGAGAACTTCCTACCCCACATTGGAAAGGGCAAAGTTTTCACAAAACTTGACGTCAAAGACGCTTATCACCAGGTCGGAGACATTTTGTCATGAAAAGTTACATAACTATTTTGTTTTGTTCAGCATAAGTTAGAAAAGAGAGAGAAAGAAAGACAAAAATAGAAAAAAAAAGAGCAAATGAAATAATAACAAGTTGAATTTTGATTAAAAATAATCTGAAAAAAAAAATCCAAAAGAAAAAGAAGAAGAGAAATTTTCTGTTGATGTTCCGAATAATAATAAAAAAAACAAACACCAAATATTTACGAAAAGTTGAATTGTTTTGTTTGTTGTAGGTAGAAATTTCCGAAAAGTCAAGACAAATAACTACGTTCATAACACGCAAAGGATTGTACCGCTACAAACGGCTGATGTTTGGCATCAATTGCGCCCCAGAGCTGTTTCAAAAGATCATGGAACAAATTCTGGCTGGATGTGAAGGATGTTTTATTTACATTGATGATGTAATCATCTATGGTGAAACAGTAGAACAGTTAAAGGAAAGAGTTTCAAAGGTTCTCGCTGCACTCAAACGACACAATGTCAAGCTAAATGAAAGTAAGTGTGTGTATGGTGTTGAAACAATAGAATTTTTGGGACACAAGCTATCGGCATCCGGAATAACACCAAAGCAAGACAAAGTTGAATCGATTAGACATTTCCGCCGCCCATCCAACGCTGAAGAGGTGCGCAGTTTTCTAGGGCTTGTCAATTTCGTCGGCATATTCATACCAGATTTGGCAACAATAACCGAACCATTGCGAGCGTTGACTAAAAAGGACACGATATTTGTGTGGGTCCGGTTGAACAGCGAGCATTCACACAATTGACAAGAAGCTTATGTTGCGACTTAGCATTAGGATATTATGATATCGATGATCGCACACAAGTGTATGCAGACGCTAGTCCAGTAGGTCTGGGTGCTGTTTTAATCCAAATCAATGATAAGGGACCGCGTGCTATTTCTTACGCAAGCAAAAGTCTGTCCGACACTGAGAAACGCTACTGTCAAACTGAAAAAGAAGCATTGGCGTTAGTATGGTCAGTAGAACGATTTCATTTTTATTTGTTTGGTCGATACTTTGAACTTATCACGGATCATCGAGCATTGGAAGTAATATTTGCACCAAAGAGTAAGCCATGCGCAAGAATCGAGCGTTGGGTGTTGCGATTACAATCGTATAAATTCAAGGTAATATACAGACCAGGAAAAAACAATATTGCGGACCCGCTATCACGATTGGTTACCACAGAAAGACCACAACCGTGTTTTGATATAGGTGCCGAAATATATGTCAACAACATCGCTGCATCAGCGGCACCCGTGGCGATTAAATTGGCTGAAATCGAAGAATTATCACAAACGGATGAAATAATTTGTGCAGTGAAAAAGGGTCTCACCGATAACGATTGGGAAGAGAAAGCCATACCGTTGAAACCGTTTGAAACTGAGTTGTGTTTGGCCGGCAACATTCTGTTGAGAGGTGTTCGTATCGTCATGCCAGAAAAGTTACGGCAACGAACTTTGGAATTAGCTCATGAAGGGCACCCAGGCATGTCCAAAATGAAACAACGGTTGCGAGGCAAGGTTTGGTGGCCGAAAATAGACACAGAAGTTGAAGCATATGTGAAGAAATGTCACGGATGCATGATGGTAGCAGCTCCACCAGCACCCGAACCATTGAAAAGAACAACACTACCAAGTGAACCGTGGCAGCATTTGGCAATTGATTATTTGGGCCCACTTCCATCTGGAGATTATTTGTTGGTAATTGTCGACTATTTCAGCCGATATAAAGAAGTTGAAATCATGAGAAAAATTGATTCAGTGGAGACCATCAAACGGTTGCGTAGAATTTTTGCACTTTTTGGTTATCCTTTGTCTATCACGGCCGACAACGGAACGCAATTAGTCAGCGTTGAATTCAAGGCATTTTGCAATGAAACCAATATTCATCTGAACAGCACTACGCCATACTGGTCGCAGCAAAACGGTGAAGTAGAACGCCAAAATCGATCGTTGCTTAAAGTACTGACAATCAGCCAAAACCAACGATCCGATTGGAAATCAGATCTGCAAACTTACCTACACATGTATCGGGCGACACCGCATGCAACCACACTCAAAACGCCATCCGAACTAATGTTGGGTCGTACGATTCGAGATAAGCTACCTAACATCAGCCAGCCAATGGAACAGAATGAAGAGCTCCGGGACAGAGACAAAGAGTCAAAAGAAAAAGGTAAACAGTATGCAGATGAGAAACGGCATGCAAAGCCAAGCGAAATAAAAGAAGGCAATGAAGTATGGCTGAAAGATTGGTCAAAACAAATAAATTGGCACCCAAATTTGATCCAATTTCGTACAAGGTGATTGAGCGTAAAGGATCCGAAATCGTTGTGGAACACACAGAATCGAAAAAACGATATCGTCGTGCATGCAATGATGGTCGTAAGTAAAAAGAAAAGGGAGAAGAATAATATCGTGGATGGAATTATCTATTTGGTTGAATCCAAACGTTGATAGACAAGAAAAAATTAATATCTATTCCATTTCAGCCCAGCACACAGCCAAGCACACTGGATGAAGCCATTGCTCAAGGACCGGAAACTGAAGCTGTCAGCGAACCTCGGCCGAAGCGAAACTGTACCAAACCAGCTAGATACACGGATTAAAATTTAAGAAATGTTTAATTTGAAGTTGTTGTAAATGAAAAAAATTATTATAAAAAAAAAGAAGGAAGTGATGTAGTATTGGGCAACTCGCCCGAAACGTCAAACGATTGTCACAGAAACTGATTCAATAAAACCACACTTGAGCGTGAACCACAGAGCCTAACAGACGTGTGTTTTAATGCAACATTACAGGGTGCATACTGTTGGGACCCGTACCTTTCTTTGTGTTCACGGCTTGCAGCTCTTCAAGCACGAAATTGATGTCGAGCTGGAATTCCTCAGTTTGGTGTGACTCATCGGTAGGCGATTGTTGAACGCCTTGAGTCGTTGAGTCATCGTAGTTGCTACTGAAGAAGTTCGCAAACAGGTTGGCCTGTTCTGTTTCGTTTGCTGTACGCACATCACCAAATTGCATGACTTTTGGTTTGTTGTCGGTGCTCTTCTTTGAATTGACATATTGCCAAAATCTCGATGCGTCAT